CCAAAAATACCCCGAAAAACAGCCCCAAATCAGCCCAAAATCACCCGGGGCACCCCAAAAACAGCCCAAAACCACCCCAAAATCAGCCCAAAAACGGCCCAAAACCGGCAAAATTAGCCCAAAATCAGCCCAAAATCTGCTCAAAATCACCCAGGCACCCCAAATACCCCAAAAACAGCCCAAAAACGGCCCCAAAACGGCAAAATCAGCCCATAATCACCTGGGGCACACCCAAACACCCAAAATCAGCCCAAAATCAGCTGGGGCACCCCAAAAACGGCCCAAAATCGGCAAAATCATCCCAAAATCATCCCAAAATCACCCAGGACACCCCAAACACCCCAAAACCACCCCAAAAACGGCCCAAAAACGGCCCAAAAACAGCAAAATCAGCCCAAAATCAGCTGGGGCACCCCAAACACCCCAAAAACGGCAAAATCAGCCCAAAATCAGCCCAAAACAGCCCAAACACCCCAAAAATGGACCAAAAATGGCAAAATCAGCCCAAAATCAGCCCAAAATCACCCGGGGCACCCTAAAATACCCCAAAAACACCCCAAAAATGGCCCAAAAATGGCCCAAAACCAGCAAGATCAGCCCAAAATCACCCGGGGCACCCCAAACATCCCCAAAAGGGACCAAAAAACAGCAAAATCAGCCCAAAAACCCCAAAAACACCCCAAAAATGGACCAAAACACCCCCAAACCAGCCCAAAATCAGCCCCAAATCACGTGGGGCACCCCAAAAACGGCCAAAAATCACCTGGGGCACCCCAAAAACGGACCAAAAATGGCAAAATCAGCCCAAAATTACCCGGGGCACCCCAAAAACACCCCAAAACCGGCCCAAAAACAGCAAAATCAGCCCAAAATCAACCGGGGCACCCCAAACACCCCAAAACCGGCCCAAAATCAGCCCAAAATCACCCGGAGCACCCCAAAACAGCCCAAAATCACCCGGGGCACCCGAAACACCCCCAAAACGGCCCCAAAACAGCCCAAAATCACCCGGGGCACCCCCAAATCTCCTCCAAATCCCCCTAAAATCCTCCCAAAACCCCCCCGAAATTCCTCCCCAAAATCTCATTTAAAATCCCCAAATCCCTCCAAAATCCTCCAAAAAAATCCCCAAATCTCCCCCCAAAATTCCCCTAAAATCCCCCAAATCCCCCCGAAATTCTCCCCAAATTTCTCCCAACTCCCCCAAAATCCCCCAAAATCCCCCAAATCCCCCTTCAAAATCCCCAAATCCCCCCAAAATCCCCAAAAAAATCCCCAAATCTCTCCCCCCAAATCCCCCAAAATCTCATTCAAAATCCGCAAATTCCCCCAAAATCCTCCAAAAAATCCCAAATTTCTCCCCCAAATTCCCCTAAAATCCACAAAATCCCCCCAAACCTCCCCGAAATTCTCCCTAAATTTCTCCCAACTCCCCCAAAATACCCAAAATCCCCCCAAAATCCCCAAATCCCCCCCCAAAATCCCCCAAATCCTCCTTCAAAATCCCCAAATCCCCCCAAATCTTCCCCAAATCCCTCCAAAATCCTCCAAAAAAATCCCAAATTTCTCCCCCAAAATCTCATTCAAAATCCCCAAAATCCCTCCAAAATCCCCAAATCTCCCCAAAATCCTCCAAAAAAATCCCCAAATCTCCCCCCAAATCCCCCTAAAACCCCCGAAAATCCTCCAAACTCACATAAATGCCCCAAATCCCTCCCAAAATCTCCCCAAATTCCCCTAAATCACTCGGAATCCCCCCAAAATCCCCAAAATTCCCCAAATCCCCCCAAAATCCTCCCCCAAATCCCCCCCAAAACGCCCAAAATCTCATTCAAAATCCCCAAATCCCCCCAAAAATCCTCCAAAAAAATCCCCAAATCTCTCCCCCAAATCCCCCCCAAAATCCCCCTGAAATTCCTCCCCAAATCCCCCAAAATCCCCCAAAATCTCATTCAAAATCCCCAAATCCCCCCAAAATCCTCCAAAAAATCCCCAAATCTCCCCCCCCAAATCCCCCAAATTCCTCCAAAAAAATCCCAAATCTCTCCCCCAAAACACCCAAAATCTCATTCAAAACCCCCAAATCCGCCCAAAATCCTCCAAAAAAATCCCCAAATCTCCCCCCCAAATCCCCCCAAAATCCTCCCCCAAATCCCTCCAAAATCCCTCAAAAAAAATCCCAAATTTCTCCCCCAAAATCTCATTCAAAATCCCCAAATCCCCCCAAAATCCTCCAAAAAAAAATCCCCAAAATCCTCCAAAAATCCTCCAAAAAAATCCCCACATCTCCCCCCAAATCCCCTTAAAACCCCCCCAAATCCCCCCAAAATCCCCCTTAAAAATCGCCAAATCCCCCCAAAAAAATCCCCAAATCCCCCCAAATCCTCCAAAAATTCCCCAAATCTCTCCCCCAAATCCCCCTAAAATCCCCCCAAAACCCCCCGAAATTCCTCCCAAAATTCCCCCAAATCGCCCAAAATCTCATTCAAAATCCCAAAATCCCCCCCAAAATCCCCCAAATCCCCCTTCAAAATCCACAAATCCCCCCAAAATCCTCCAAAAAATCCCCAAATCCCCCCCAAATCCCTCCAAAATCCTCAAAAAAACCCCAAATTTCTCCCCCAAAATCTCATTCAAAATCCCCAAATCCCCCCAAAATCCTCCAAAAAAATCCCCAAATCCCCCCCAACTCCCACAAATCCCCCAAATCCCCCCCAAAATCTCCCCAAAATCCCCCCAAAATCATCCCAAAATCCCCCCAAAATCCCCAAAATCCCCCAAATTCCCCCAAAATTCCCCAAAATCCCCCAAATTCCCCCAAAATCCCCCAAATTCCCCCAAATCCCCCCGCCTCACCGGCGTGCAGCCCCCACTTGCAGAAGAGGCGCCGCTCGGAGAAGCCGCAGCCGCTCTCGATCTGCCCGATGAGGTGCAGCTCCGCCATTGGGACCCCAAAACCCGCCGGATTCAGCCCAAAATTGCCCAAAATTTCCAAAATTCCCCCCAAAATTCCGCCCGCGCGGCGCTCCCTGCCCGCGCCGCCACTGCGCATGCGCGGGCGGCGCTTCCGCATCGCGTTGCCACGGTAACGCAAAGCCGGCGCTGATTGGTTAATACAGCTCAGGCCACGCCCACAAAGGGCGGGGTTAGCACTGCGCATGCGTGTACGGAAGAGTTTGCCGTATGGGCGCCGCCATCTTGGGTGTTGCAGCATGGGGGCCGCCATCTTGAGGGCGCCGCCATCTTGTGTGTACCGCCGCCATCTTGGGAGGGCCCAAATTGGGGGGGAAAAGCCAAAATTGGGAAAAAATCCAAAAGGGGGGGGAAAAAACCCAAAATTGGGGGGAAAAACCCAGAATTGGGGGAAAAAATCCAAAATTGGAGGAAAACAAACAAAATTGGGAGAAAACAACCCAAAATTGGGAAAAACCCCAAAATTAGGAAAAAAACCAAAATTGTGGGGGAAACCTAAAGTTGAGGAAAAAACCCAAAAATTGGGTAAAAAAACCCACCAAAATTGGGGGAAAAATCCCAAAATTAGGGAGAAAATGCAGAAATTTGGGAAGAAAACGAAATTGGGGGAAAAAAAGAACAAAATTGAGGGAAAAACCCCCAAAATCGAGGGTAAAACCAAAATTGGGGAAAAAATCCCAAAATTGGGGAAAAAAATCCCAAAATTCAGAATAAAACCCAAAAATTGGGGGAAAAAACCAAAATTGTGGGAAAACCCACAAAGTTTGGGGGAAAAACCTCAAAACTGGATAAAAACAACACCCAAAATTGGGGAAAAAACCCAAAATTGGGGAAAAAAACTCCCAAAATTGGGGAAAAAAACCCAAAATTTGGGGAAAAAACCCCAAAATTGGGGAAAAAAAACCCCCAAATTGGGGGGAAGCCCCAAATTTCAGGTTCCGCTCCTGAATTTTACTTTTCTCTCCAAATTTTGGGATTCGCCGCTCCCGGATTTCAAATCCCTCCCAAAATTCCCCTCCCCCAATTCTCGCCCCTCCCCCCAAATTCTCGCCCCTCCCCCCCAATTCTGCCCATCCCCCTCCCCAAATTTTTCCTCCCCCAAATTTCTGCCCCAATTCTGCCCCTCCCCCTCCCCAAATTTTTCCTTCCCCCCCAATTCCGGCCCCTCCCCCACCCCAATTCCCAACCCTCCCCCTCCCCAAATTCCCACCCCTCCCCCAAAATTCTGCCCCTCCCCCTCCCCAAATTTTTCCTTCCTCAAATTTCTGCCCCAATTCTGCCCCTCCCCCTCCCCAAATTCCCGCCCCACCCCCCCAATCCCGCCCATCCCCCTCCCCAAATTCCTCCTTTCCAAAATTCTGCCCCTCCCCCAAAATTCTGCCCCTCCCCCTCCCCAAATTTTTTCCTTCCCCCCCCATTCTGCCCCTCCCCCTCCCCCTCCCCAAATTCCCGCCCCTCCCCCCCAATTCTGCCCCTCCCCCTCCCCAAATTCCGGCCCCTCCCCCAAAATTCTGCCCCTCCCCCTCCCCCAATTCCCGCCCCTCCCCCTCCCCAAACGGGGTCAGAGGTCACGGGGGGGTCACCCCAAATTTACTTCACGGACACCACAGCACAGAACCGACCACGACACCACCGGGGGGAGGGGGACCCCAAAATTTGGGGGGTGGGGGGAGGGGCGGAGAGACCCCCAAAAACCCCCCCAGGGACGGGTGGGGGATGGGCAGCGCCCCCTCCCCCCCCCAAACAACACCGACCCCCCCAAAAACCCCAAAAACCCCCCAAAATCCGCCCGCGGGGGGGGGGGGGAGGGGCGCGGGGGGGGGGAACCCCCCAAAATTTCCCATCATGCAACACTTGGCCCTCCCCTCCCCCCCCCCAAAAAAATTTGGGAACCCCCTCCCCAAAATTCCCCTCCCCCCCCCAGCTCTGTTATGGCTTTTTTTTGGTTTTTTTGGGGGGTTTTGGGGTTTTTTTGGGGGGTTTTGGGGGTTTTTGGGTTTTTTTGGGGGGTTTTGGGGGGAATTTGGGGGTTTTTTGGGGGGTTTTTGGGGTTTTTTGGGGGTTTTTGGGCCCCCCTAGGTGAGGGTGATGAAGGCCGAGGCCTTTTCCTTCAGCTGCCGCAGGCACAGGTGGCAGCTCCAACTCCCTGCGCCAAAAAACGCCAAAAATGCCGAATTTCAGCCCAAAATCCCTGCTGGGAAACGCCCCGACAGTGCCCCGAAATCAGCTGAAATTCCCACAAAAATATCCCAAAAATTCCCCTAAAAATTCCCCCCAAAATCAGCAAATATTCCCCCAAAAATACCCCCAAAATTCCCCCAAACAGCCCCCCAAAATCAGCAAATATTCACCCAAAAATACCCCAAAAATACCCCAAAAGTTCCCCCAAACAGCCCCCCGAAATCAGCTGAAATTCCCCAAAAATACCCCAAAATTCCCCCAAACAGCCCCTCCGAAATCAGCAAATATTCCCCCAAAAATACCCCAAAAATTCCCCCCGAAATCAGCTGAAATTCCCCCCAAAAATACCCTCAAACAGCCCCCCGAAATCAGCAAATATTCACCTAAAAATAACCCAAAAATTCCCCCCGAAATCAGCTGAAATTCCCCCAAAAATTCCCCCCGAAATCTGCAAATATTCCCCCCAAAATACCCCAAAAATTCCCCCAAACAGCCCCTTGAAATCAGCAAATATCCCCCCAAAAATTCCCCCGAAATCAGCAAATATCCCCCCAAAAATTCCCCAAAAAATCCACAAAAATTCCCCCAAATAGCCCCCCAAAATCAGCTGAAATTCCCCCAAAAATATCCCAAAAATACCCCAAAAATTCCCCCTAAAATCAGCAAATTCGTCCCCAAAAATTCCCCCCAAAATTCCCCCTGAAATCAGCAAATATTCACCCAAAAATTCCCCCAAACAGCCCCCCGAAATCAGCTGAAATTCCCCCAAAAATACCCCAAACCGCCCCCCAAAATCAGCAAATATCCCCCCAAAAATTCTCCCCGAAATCAGCAAATATTCCCCCAAAAATACCCCAAAATTCCCCCCAAACAGTTCCCCGAAATCAGCAAATATTCCCCCAAAAATTCCCCAAAAATTCCCCAAAATTCCCCCAAAAATCAGCAATTATCCCCCCAAAAATTCCCCCTGAAATCAGCTGAAATTCCCCCAAAAATATCCCAAAAATTCCCCAAAATCCCCCCAAAATGCCCCAAAATGTCCCCAAACCCCCCAAATCCCCACAAAATCTCCCAAAATTTCTCCCAAAATTCCCCCAAAATGTCCCCAAATCCCCCAAATCCCCCCAAGTTCTCCCCAAAATCCTCCAAAATCTTCCCCAAAATCCCTCAAAATCTCCCCAAATCTTCTCCAAATTCCCCCCAAACCGCCCCCAAAATCCCCCAAATCCCCCCAAGTTTTCCCAAAAATCCTCCAAAAAATTCCCCCCAAAATTCCCCAAAATCCCCCAAAATCCCAAAAAACCTCCCAAACAATACCCCAGAATCTCCTAAATTCCCCCTAAAATCCCCTCAAATCCTCCCAAAATCTCATCCAAAATCTCCCCAAATCTCCCCCAAATCCCCCCAAAACCCCCAAAAATCCCCCAAAATCTTCTCCAAAACCCCCCAAAACCCTCCAAAATCCCCCAAAAATCCCCCAAACAATCCCCCAAAATCTCCCAAATTCCCCCTAAAATCCCCACAAATTCCCCTCCAAAATACCCTAAAATGTCCCCAGACCCCCCAAATCTCCCCAAAATCTCCCAAAATCGTCCCAAAATCTCCCCCAAAATCTCCCAAAATCTTCTCCAAATTCCCCCCAAACCGCCCCTAAAATCTCCCAAATCCCCCCAAAAATCCCCCAAAATCTTCTCCAAAATCCCAAAAACTCCCCCAAACAATACCCCAAAATCTCCCAAATTCCCCCTAAAATCCCCACAAATTCCCTCCAAAATTCCCCAAAATCCCCCCAAAACCCCCCAAATATTCTCCAAATCCCCCCAAAATCTCCCAAAATCCCCAAAATCCCCCAAATTCTCCCCAAAATACCCTCGGGGGGCTCGGCCATGGGGGGGCTCAGGCAGTACATGTGGTACCCGCGGTCGCAGTCGTCGCAGAACAGCAGCTGCTCCTTTGGGGCAAAAAACCCCGATTTTGGTAAAAAACGTGAATTTTGGGAAAAAAACAGGATTTGGGGGGAAAAATAAGGGTTTGGGGAAAATAAATGGAATTTTCTGGGGAAAAATTAGTGGTTTTGGGGAAAAAATAAAGGGATTTTGGGGGAAATAAATCAGATTTTACGGGGAAAATAAAGGGATTTTTGGGAAAAAAATATAAAGGGATTTTGGGATAAAAATAATGGATTTTGGGGGAAAAGAAATGGATTTGGGGAAGAATAAATGGATTTTGGGGGGAAATGGATTTTGGGGTAAAAATAAAGGGATTTTGGGGAAAATAAACAGATTTTACGGGGAAAATAAAGGGATTTTTGGGAAAAAAATATAAAGGGATTTTGGGATAAAAATAATGGATTTTGGGGGGAAAGAAATGGATTTGGGGAAAAATAAATGGATTTTGGGGGGAATGGAATTTGGGGAAAAATAAATGGATTTTGGGGGAAATAAATCAGATTTTACGGGGAAAATAAAGGGATTTTTGGGAAAAAATATAAAGGGATTTTGGGATAAAAATAATGGATTTTGGGGGAAAAGAAATGGATTTGGGGAAAAATAAATGGATTTTGGGGGAAAACACCAATTTGGGGGAAAAAATTAAATTATTTGGGGGGAAAACAGATTTTGGGACAAAATTAATGGATTTTGGGGGAAAAGAAATGGATTTGGGGAAAAATAAATGGATTTTGGAGGGAAAATGGATTTTGGGGAAAAATAAAGGGATTTGGGGAAAAAAAAAACGATTTTGGGGCAAAAATAACGGAATTTGGGGATTTGGGGAAAATAAATGGATTTGTGGGGAAAAATAATGGATTTTGGGGGAAATAATGGATTTGGGGAAAAAATAATGGATTTTGGGGAAAATAAATCAGATTTTACGGGGAAAATAAAGGGATTTTTGGGAAAAAATATAAAGGGATTTTGGGATAAAAAGAATGGATTTTGGGAAAAATAAATGGATTTGGGGAAAAAAAAACAATTTTGGGACAAAAATAACGGAATTTGAGGATTTGGGGAAAATAAATTGATTTGCGGGAAAAAATAACGGATTTTGGGGAAATAATGGATTTTGGGGAAAAAATAATGGATTTTGGGGAAAATAAATGGAATTTTCTGTGGAAAAATTAATGGTTTTGGGGTAAAAATAAAGGGATTTTTGGGAAAATAAACTGATTTTGCGCGGAAAATAAAGGGATTTTTGGGAAAAAATATAAAGGGATTTTGGGATAAAAATAGTGGATTTTGGGGGAAAAAATAATGGATTTTGGGGAAAAATATTGAATTTGGGGGAAAATGGATTTTGGGGAAAAAATAATGGATTTGGGGTAAAAATAAAGGGATTTTGGGGAAAATAAATGGAATTTTTTGGGGAAAATTTAATGGATTTGGGGTAAAAATAAAGGGATTTGGGGGAAAATAAACCAGATTTTACGGGGAAAATAAAGGGATTTTTGGGAAAAAATATAAAGGGATTTTGGGATAAAAATAATGGATTTTGGGGGAAAAGAAATGGATTTGGGGAAAAATAAATGGATTTTGGGGGAAAACACCAATTTGGGGGAAAAAATTAAATTATTTGGGGGGAAAACAGATTTTGGGACAAAATTAATGGATTTTGGGGGAAAAGAAATGGATTTGGGGAAAAAATGGATTTTGGGGAAAATTAAAGGGATTTGGGGAAAAAAAAACGATTTTGGGACAAAAATAACGGAATTTGGGGATTTGGGGAAAATAAATGGATTTGTGGGAAAAAATAACGGATTTTGGGGGAAATAATGGATTTTGGGGAAAAATAACAGGTTTTGGGGAAAATAATGGATTTGGGGGAAAAATAACGGATTTTGGGGGAAATAATGGATTTGGGGAAAAATACCGGATTTTGGGGAAAAAATAACGGATTTTGGGGGGAAAACACCAATTTTGGGGGAAAATTTAACTGATTTAGGGGGAAAACAGATTTTGGGACAAAATTAATGGATTTTGGGGGAAAAGAAATGGATTTGGGGAAAAATAAATGGATTTTGGGGGGAAAATGGATTTTGGGGAAAAATAAAGGGATTTTGGGGAAAAAAAACGATTTTGGGACAGAAATAACGGAATTTGGGGATTTTGGGAAAAATAAATGGATTTGCGGGAAAAAATAACGGATTTTGGGGGAAATAATGGATTTGGGGAAAAATAACAGGTTTTGGGGAAAAATAATGGATTTTGGGGGGAAAACACCAATTTTGGGGGGAAAAAACTGATTTAGGGGGGAAAACAGATTTTGGGACAAAATTAATGGATTTTGGGGAAAAATAAACAGATTTTGGGGAAAAAATAATGGATTTGGGGAAAAAATAAACAGATTTTGGGGGAAATCCTGATTTTGGGAAAAATTAACAGATTTTGGGGACAAATAAACGGATTTTGGGGTTGGGTTTTGGGAGAATCTCGGTCTGGATTTGGGGGATTTTGGGGAGGATTTTGGGGTGGATTTGGGGGATTTTGGGGAGTGTTTTGGTGGGGATTTGGGGGATTTTGGGGGGATTTTGGGGTAATTTTGTGGAGGATTTTGGGGAGTATTTTAGGGTGGATTTGGGGGATTTTGGGGGGGATTTGGGGCGGATTTTGGGGCGGTTTGGGGGAGTATTTTGGGGGGGATTTTAGGGTGGATTTGGGGGATTTTGGGGGGATTTTAGGGTGGATTTGGGGGATTTTGGGGTGGATTTTGGGGAGGATTTTGGGGTGGATTTAGAGGTTTTTGGGGAGTGTTTTCGTGGGGATTTTGGGGGGATTTGGGGTAGTTTGGGGGAGGATTTTGGGGGGTATTTTAGGGTGGATTTGGGGGATTTTGGGGGGATTTTGGGGAGAATTTTGGGGGGAATTTTAGGATGGATTTGGGGAATTTTTGGGAGTATTTTGGGGGGATTTTAGGGTGGATTTGGGGGGATTTGGGGCAGTTTGGGGGAGTATTTTGGGGGTGATTTTAGGGTGGATTTGGGGGATTTTGGGGAGGATTTTGGGGAGGATTTTGGGGCGGTCTGGGGGAGTATTTTGGGGGGATTTTAGGGTGGATTTGGGGGATTTTGGGGAGGATTTTGGGGAGGATTTTGGGGTGGTTTGGGGGATTTTGGGGAGTATTTTGGGGTGGATTTTAGGGTGGAATTTGGGGATTTTGGGGGGATTTTGGGGCGGTTTTGGGGAGGATTTTGGGGGGATTTTGGGGCAGTATTTTGGGGTCCCTCACGTCGTTCTCGGCGGTGCCGCAGAGGCTGCAGGATTTGCACTCGATGCATTGCCAGCGGTAGGAGCGCGCGGCCGCCGCCATGGCCAGCGAGAACTGCAGGCACGAGGGGTGCCCTGGGGCAGAACACCCCAAAATTACCCAAAATCACCCCAAAAATAACCCAGAACACACCCCAAAATCACCCCAAAATCACCCCAAAAATACCCTCAAAAATACCCAGAACCCACCCCAAAATCACCCCAAAATCCCCCCAAAATCCCACCAAAAATAACCCAGAACCCACCCCCAAAATAACCCCAAAATCCCCCCAAAAATAACCCAGAACACACCCCAAAATCCCCCCAAAAATAACCCAGAACCCTCCCCAAAATCACCCCCAAATCACCCCAAAATCACCCCAAAAATACCCCAAATCACCCCAAAATTACCCCAAATCTCCCCAAAATCCCCCATGGCCAGCGAGAACTGCAGGCACGAGGGGTGCCCTGGGGCAAAACACCCCAAAATTACCCAAAATCACCCCAAAATCACCCCAAAAATAACCCAGAAATAACCCAGAACCCACCCCAAAATCCCCCCCAAATCCCCCCAAAAATAACCCAGAACCCACCCCAAAATCACCCCAGAAATAACCGAGAACCCACCCCAAAATCACCCCAAAATCACCCCAAAAATAACCCAGAACCCACCCCAAAATCCCCCCAAAAATAACCCAAAATCAATCCAAAATCACCCCAAAATCACCCCAAAATCCCCCATGGCCAGCGAGAACTGCAGGCACGAGGGGTGACCTGGGCCAGAACACCCCAAAATCACCCCAAATCACCCCAAAATCTCCCCAAAAATAGCCCAGAACCCACCCCAAAATCACCCCAAAATCACCCCAAAATCCAACCCAAAATCACCCCAAAATTGCCCCAAAACCCACCACAAAATCACCCCAAATCACCCCAAAATTGCCCCAAAACCCACCCCAAAATCACCCCAAAATCACCCCAAAAATAACCGAGAACCCACCCCAAAATCACCCCAAAATCCCCCAAAAATAACCCAGAACCCACCCCGAAATCACCCCGAAATCACCCCAAAATCACCCCAAAAATAACCCAGAACCCACCCCAAAATCACCTGAAAAATACCCCAGAAATAACTCAGAACCCACCCCAAAATCACCCCAAAATCCCCCAAAAATACCCCCAAAAATAACCCAGAACGCACCCCAAAATCACCCCAAAATCCCCCCAAAAATAACCCAGAACGCACCCCAAAATCACCCCAAAAATCACCCCAAAAGTAACCCAGAACCCACCCCAAAATCACCCCAAAATCACCCCAAAATAACCCAGAACCCACCCCAAAATCACCCCAAAAATAACCCAAAATTGCCCCAAAATCACCCCAGAAATAAACCCAGAACCCACCCCAAAATCACCCCAAAATCTCCCCAAAAATAACTCAGAACCCACCCCAAAATCACCCCAAAATCACCCCAAAAATAACCCAGAACCCACCCCAAAATCACCCCAAAATCTCCCCAAAATCACCCCAAAAATAACCCAGAACCCACCCCAAAATCACCCCAAAATCACCCCAAAATCACCCCCAAAATCATCCCAAAAATAACACAGAACCCACCCCAAAATCACCCCCAAATCACCCCAAAATCACCTCAAAATCACCCCAAAAATAACCCAAAATTGCCCCAAAATCTCCCCAAAACACCCCAAACCCACCCCAAAATCACCCCAAAAATACCCCAAATCCCACCCCAAAATTACCCCAAAAATGCCCAAAACCCACCCCAAAATTATCCCAAAATCACCCCAAAAAAACCCCAAAATTGCCCCAAAATCCACCCCAAAATCCCCCCAAAAATACCCCAAAACCCACCCCAAAATTACCCCAAAATCGCCCCAAAATCCACCCAAAACCTCCAAACCCCCAAAACTCAAAACCCTCAAAACGACCCCGAAAATCCCCTAAAGAAACCCCAAAAACCCCAAAACTGCCCAATGTCCCCAATGTCCCCAATGTCCCCAATGTCCCCAATGTCCCCAATGTCCCCCCAATGTCCCCAAATGTCCCCAATGTCCCCAAATGTCCCCAATGTCCCCAATGTCCCCAATGTCCCCAATGTCCCCAATGTCCCCAATGTCCCCAATGTCCCCAATGTCCCCCCAATGTCCCCAATGTCCCCTCAATGTCCCCAATGTCCCCAATGTCCCCAATGTCCCCAATGTCCCCAATGTCCCCAATCCCCCCAATGTCCCCAATGTCCCCAATGTCCCCAATGTCCCCCCAATGTCCCCAATCCCCCCAATGTCCCCAATGTCCCCAATGTCCCCAATGTCCCCAATGTCCCCAATGTCCCCAAGGATGTCCCCAATGTCCCCAATGTCCCCCCAATGTCCCCAATGTCCCCAATGTCCCCAATCCCCCCAATGTCCCCAATCCCCCCAATGTCCCCCCAATGTCCCCAATGTCCCCAATCCCCCCAATGTCCCCAATGCCCCCAATGTCCCCAATGTCCCCAATGTCCCCAATCCCCCCAATGTCCCCAATCCCCCCAATGTCCCCCCAATGTCCCCAATGTCCCCAATGTCCCCAATGTCCCCAGTGTCCCCAATGTCCCCAATGTCCCCAATGTCCCCAATGTCCCCAATGTCCCCAATGTCCCGATGTCCCCAATGTCCCCCCAATGTCCCCAATGTCCCCCCAATGTCCCCAATGTCCCCAATGTCCCCAATGTCCCCAATGTCCCCAATCCCCCCAATGTCCCCCCAATGTCCCCAATGTCCCCAATCCCCCCAATGTCCCCAATGTCCCCAATGTCCCCAATGTCCCCAATGTCCCCAATGTCCCTCACCGTGCCCGGGGCTCTCCATGTTGAAGCACAGCAGCTCCTGCCCGTAGTAGTCCCGCGGCTCCTCGGGCTGCTGTCCCCATGTCCCCATGTCCCCATGTCCCCAATGTCCCCAATGTCCCCAATGTCCCCAATCCCCCCAATGTCCCCAATCCCCCCAATGTCCCCAATGTCCCCAATGTCCCCAATGTCCCCAATCCCCCCAATGTCCCCAATCCCCCCAATGTCCCCAATGTCCCCAATGTCCCCAATGTCCCCAATGTCCCCAGTGTCCCCAATGTCCCCAATGTCCCCAGTGTCCCCAATGTCCCCAATGTCCCCAATGTCCCTCACCGTGCCCGGGGCTCTCCATGTTGAAGCACAGCAGCTCCTGCCCGTAGTAGTCCCGCGGCTCCTCGGGCTGCTGTCCCCATGTCCCTGTGTCCCCATGTCCCCAATGTCCCTGTGTCCCCATGTCCCCCCTGTGTCCCTGTGTCACTCAAAGGTCCCCATGTCCCCATGTCCCTGTGTCACTCAAAGGTCCCCATGTCCCCGTGTCCCCATGTCCCTGTGTCACCCCCATGTCCCCATGTCCCCGTGTCCCCGTGTCCCCTCTGTGTCCCTGTGTCACTCAAAGGTCCCCATGTCCCTGTGTCACCCGCATGTCCCCATGTCCCCGTGTCCTCCCCATGTCCCTGTGTCACTCAAAGGTCCCCATGTCCCCGTGTCCCCGTGTCCCTGTGTCACCCCCCTGTCCCTGTGTCACTCAAAGGTCCCCATGTCCCCATGTCCCTGTGTCACCCCCATGTCCCCATGTCCCCCATATGTCCCTGTGTCACTCAAAGGTCCCCATGTCCCCATGTCCCTGTGCCACCCCAGGTGTCCCCAATGTCCCCACTGTCCCCAAAGTCCCTCACCGTGCCCGGGGCTCTCCATGGGGAACCGCAGCAGCTCCTGCCCGTAGTAGTCCCGCGGCTCCTCGGGCTGCTGTCCCCAATGCCCCCATGTCCCCATGTCCCCGGTGTCCCCATGTCCCCATGTCCCCAATGTCCCCATGTCCCCAATGTCCCCAATGTCCCCAATGTCCCCAGTGTCCCCAATCCCCCCAGGTGTCCCCAATGTCCCCAATGTCCCCAATGTCCCCAATGTCCCCGGTGTCCCTCACCGTGCCCGGGGCTCTCCATGGGGAAGCGCAGCAGCTCCTGCCCGTAGCAGTGCTGCTGTCCCCATGTCCCTGTGCCACCCCGGTGTCCCCAATGTCCCCATGTCCCTGTGCCACCCCCATGTCCCCAATGTCCCCAATGTCCCCAATGTCCCCGGTGTCCCCAATGTCCCTCACCGTGCGCGGGGCTCTCCATGGGGAACCGCAGCAGCTCCTGCCCGTAGTAGTCCCGCGGCTCCTCGCCGCGCAGCCGCCGCCGGGCGCGCTGCCGCAGCAGCTCCCGGGTGCTGTTGTACAGCGCCCGCACCTCCTCGGGCAGCGCCGCCGGCACCGGGCCCGGCTCCGGGGGCGGCGCCGGTAACCGGAGCTTGCTGAGGATCTGCCCCCGCACCGCCTCGATGCGCTTCAGCCGCGCCGCCTCCAGGTCCAGGGAGCGGCAGGACGAGAGAGCGCGGCACGGGGCGGGGAGAGACAGCAGCGCGGCCAGGAGCAACGGGACCGACACCGGGAACCGGGACGGGAATGGGAACCGGACCGACAGCAGAGCGGCCAGGAGCAACGGGACCGACACCGGGAACAGGGACCGGAGCGGGGACCGGGACGGGAGCGGGAACCGGAGCGGGGACGGGAACGACATCGGGAGCGACACCGGGAACGGGAACGAGAACGGGAACCGGAACGGGAACGGGAATGGGAATGGGAAGGGGACCGACAGCGGCACCGGGAACGGGAACCGGAACGGGAGCCGGAGCGGGAACCGGAGCGGGGACAGGAACCGGGACGAGGATGGGGACGGGAACCGGGACGGGAGCGGGGACGGGACCGACACCGGGAACCGGAGCGGGAACGGGGACGGGAATGGCACCGGGAGCGACACCGGGAACGACACCGGGAACGGGGACGGGAACCGGAGCCGGGACGGGGATGGGAATGGGAACGGGAACGACACCGGGAACGGGAACGGGAACCGGAACGGGGACGGGAATGGGAATGGGAACGGGAACGACACCGGGAGCGAGAACCGGAACGGGAACCGGGACGGGAACCGGAGCCGGGACGGGGACGGGAACGGGGACGGGAACCGGGACGAGAACCGTAACGGGGACGGGGACGGGAGCGGGAACGGGACGGACACCGGGAACGGGAACGGGAACCGGGACGGGGACAGGGACGAGAACGGGACCGACAGCAGCACCGGGACGGACACCGGGAACCGGGACGGGAACGGGAATGGGAACGGGAATGGGAACGGGAACGGGACCGACAGCGGCACCGGGAACGGGGACGGGAACCGGAGCAGGAACCGGAGCGGGGACAGGGACGGGAACGGGAACGGGAACGACACCGGGACCGGGATAAAGCCGCGGGAAGGACCGGACACGGGACACCGGAACGGACCGGGATAAACCCTCGGGAAGGACCGGGATAAAGCCGCGGGATGGAACGGACACGGGACACCGGGACGGACCGGGATAAACCCTCAGGAAGGACCGGGATAAAGCTCAGGAGGGACCGGGATAAACCCTCCGGAGGGATCGGTAGGGACCGGGATAAAGCCGCGGGAAGGACCGGGATAAACCCTCGGGAAGGACCGGGATAAAGCCTCGGGAAGGACCGAGATAAACCCTCGGGATGGACCGGGATAAAGCCCCGGGATGGACCGGGATAAAGCCTCGGGATGGACCGGGATAAAGCCTCGGGAGGGACCGGGATAAACCCTCGGGATGGACCGGGATAAAGCCTCGGGATGGACCGGGATAAAGCCTCGGGAGGGACCGGGATAAACCCTCGGGATGGACCGGGATAAACCCTCGGTAGGGACCGGGATAAACCCTCAGGAAGGACCGGGATAAACCCTCGGGAAGGACCGGGATAAAGCCGCGGGATGGACCGGGATAAACCCTCGGGATGGACCGGGATAAAGCCTCGGGATGGACCGGGATAAACCCTCGGGAAGGACCGGGATAAAGCCGCGGGAGGGACCGGGATAAACCCTCGGGACGGACCGGGATAAACCCTCGGGAAGGACCGGGATAAACCCCTCGGAACGGGATAACCCCCCCCGGAACGGGATAAATCCCCTAAAACCGGGATAAACCCTCGGGAAGAACCGGGATAAATCCCCTAGAAACGGGACAAACCCCCTAAAACCGGGATAAATCCTCCTAAAACCGGGATAAATCCTCCTAAAACCGGGATAAATCCTCCTAAAACCGGGATAAATCCCCCTAAAACCGGGATAACCGCCCCGGGAACGGGATAAACCCCCCCGGAACGGGATAAATCCCCCAAACCGGGATAAATCCTCCTAAAACCGGGATAAATCCTCCTAAAACCGGGATAACCGCCCCTAAAACCGGGAGAAATCCCCCCTGGAACCGGGACACGCCCCCGGGACCGGGATAAACGCCTCAAAACCGGGATAAACGCCTCAAAACCGGGATAACCCCCCCGGAACCGGGATAAACTCCTCAAAACCGGGATAACCCCCCCGGAACCGGGATAACCCCCCCGGAACCGCGACTTAACCCGGGACACCCCGCACGGAACCCGCCCGGACTTCCCCTCCCGGGCTCGGTTCCGCTCCCGCCTGTCCCGGTCCTGCTGGTCCCGGTTTGTCCCGGTTGTCCCGGGTGGTCCCGGTTGTCCCCTACCGGTTCCGGTTTGTCCCGGTTGGTCCCGGGTGGTTCCGGTTTGTCCCTTTTTGTCCCGGTTGTCCCCTACCGGTTCCGCTTTGTCCCGGGTTGTCCCGGGTTGTCCCGGCTGGTTCCGGTTTGTCCCGGGTTATCCCGGTTGTCCCCTACCGGTCCCGGTTGTCCCGGGTGGTCCCGCTTTGTCCCGGTTGATCCTTTTTGTCCCTTTTTTGTCCCGTTTTTTGCCCGATTTTGCCGTTTTTGGCCCCGTTTCGCCGCGGGCCCCACCCAGGAAACGGAGGGGGGGGAGGGGAAGGGGAAGGGGGGTGGGGGAGGGGAGGGGAAACTGAGTCACGGCCGGGGGGGGGAGGGGACCCCCGGGGGGGGGGGGGGGGGGCTTCGGGAACCCCCCCAAAAATTGTCACCACCCCCCCAAAATTGTCACCTCCCCCCAAAAATTGTCACCTCTGACCCAAAATTGTCACTTCTGACCCAAAAATTGTCACTTCTGACCCAAAATTGTCACCACCCCCCTAAAAATTGTCACTTCTGACCCAAAATTGTCACCACCCCCCAAAAATTGTCACCTCCCCCCCAAAAATTGTCACCTCCCCCCAAAAATTGTCACTTCTGACCCAAAATTGTCACCTCCCCCCCAAAATTGTCACTTCTGACCCAAAAATTGTCACCTCCCCCCCAAAAATTGTCACCTCCCCCCAAAAATTGTCACTTCTGACCCCAAAACTGTCACCTCCCCCCCAAAATTGTCACTTCTGACCCCAAAACTGTCACCACCCCCCAAAAATTGTCACTTCTGACCCCAAAAATTGTCACTTCTGACCCAAAATTGTCAACACCCCCCAAAAATTGTCACCACCGACCCAAAATTGTCACTTCTGACCCAAAAATTGTCACTTCTGACCCCAAAATTGTCACCTCCCCCCCAAAATTGTCACTTTGACCCAAAATTGTCACTTCTGACCCAAAATTGTCACTTCTGACCCCAAAATTGTCACCTCTCCCCCAAAATTGTCACTTCTGACCCAAAAATTGTCACCTCACCCAAAAATTGTCACTTTGACCCAAAAATTGTCACCTCCCCCCCAAAATTGTCACCACCCCCAAAAATTGTCACCTCCCCCCAAAAATTGTCACTTCTGACCCAAAATTGTCACTTCTGACCCAAAATTGTCACCTCTGACCCAAAAATTGTCACTTTTGACCCCAAAATTGTCACTTTTGACCCAAAAAATTGTCACCTCCCCCAAAAATTGTCACTTCTGACCCAAAAATTGTCATTTCTGACCCAAAAATTGTCACCTCCCCCAAAAATTGTCACTTCTGACCCAAAATTGTCACTTCTGACCCAAAAATTGTCATCTCTGACCCAAAAATTGTCACCTTCCCCCAAAAATTGTCACCTCCCCCCAAAAATTGTCACCTCCCCCCAAAAATTGTCACCTCTCCCCCAAAATTGTCACTTCTGACCCAAAATTGTCACTTCTGACCCAAAAATTGTCACCACCCCCCCAAAATTGTCACCTCCCCCCAAAATTGTCACTTCTGACCCAAAATTGTCACTTCTGACCCCAAAATTGTCACTTCTGACCCAAAATTGTCACCTCCCCCCCAAAAATTGTCACCACCCCCCAAAAAATTGTCATTTCTGACCCAAAAATTGTCACTTGACCCAAAAATTGTCACTTCTGACCCAAAAATTGTCACCTCCCCCCAAAATTGTCACTTCTGACCCAAAATTGTCACTTCTGACCCAAAAATTGTCACCACCCCCCAAAAATTGTCACCTCCCCCCAAAATTGTCACCTGAGCCGCATTTGGTGACAAAAATTTTATTTGGGGACAATTTTTGGGTCAGAAGTGACAATTTGGGGTCAGAAGTGACAATTTCTGGGGGGGAGGTGACAATTTTTGGGGTCGGAGGTGACAATTTGGGGTCGGAGGTGACAATTTTGGGGTCAGAAGTGACAATTTTAGGGTCAGAGGTGACAATTTTGGGGTCAGAAGTGACAATTTTTGGGGGGAGGTGACAATTTTGGGGTCAGAAGTGACAATTTTTGGGGGAGGTGACAATTTTGGGTCAGAAGTGACAATTTTGGGGTCAGAAGTAAAAATTTCTGGGGGGGAGGTGACAATTTTTGGGGGGAGGTGACAATTTCTGGGGAGGTGCCACCGGGGTTGTCCCCTCCCCCCAAAGCTTGGGGACCCCCCAAGTGTCACCTCCTGTCCCCTCAGGTGTCCCCAAGTGCCACCCCAATGTCCCCAATGGTGTCCCCAGTGCCACCTTGGTGTCGCCAATGACGTCCTCAGTGTCACCTTGGTGTCCCCAGTGTCCCCAGTGATGTCCCCAGTGTCACCTTGGTGTCCCCAATGTCCCCAGTGTCCCCAATGGTGTCCCCAGTGTCATCTTGGTGTTGCCAATGATGTCCTCAGTGTCATGCTGGTGTCCCCAGTGCCACCCCAATGTCCCCAATGATGTCCCCAGTGTCACCTTGGTGTCCTCAGTGCCACCCCAATGTCCCCAATGATGTCCCCAGTGTCACCTTGGTGTCGCCAATGGTGTCCCCAGTGTCACCTTGGTGTCCCCAGTGCCACCTCAGTGTCCCCAATGGTGTCCCCAGGGCCACCCCAATGTCCCCAATGGTGTCCCCAGTGTCACTGTGCCACCCAATGGTGTCCCCATTGATGTCCCCAATACCCCAGTGATGTCCCCAATGGTGTCCCCAATGGTGTCACACTGTCCTCAATGGTGTCCCCAATGGTGTCACAGTGCCACCCCAATGTCCCCAATGTCCCCAATGTCCCCAATGTCACCAACGTCACAGTGTCCCCAATGTCACAGTGTCCCCAATGATGTCCCCAATGTCCCCATACCCCAATGGTGTCCCCAATGGTGTCCCCAATGTCCCCAATCCCCCCCCAATGTCCTCAATGGTGTCCCCAGTGGTGTCCCCAATGGTGTCACACTGTCCTCAATGGTGTCCCCAATGTCCCCAACGTCTCCATGTCCCCAATGTCCCCAATGTCCCCAATGTCCCCAATAATGTCACAGTGCCACCCCAATGTCCCCAATCCCCCCAATGTCCCCAATCCCCCCAATGTCCCCAATGTCCCCAATGGTGTCACACTGTCCCCAATGTCACAGTGCCACCCCGAAGCGCGCCATGTGCCGTGCCACCACGCCGAGCCGCAGCCGCACCGTGCCGGCGCTCCAATGTCCCCAATGTCCCCAATGTCCCCCCAATGTCCCCAATGTCCCCAATGTCCCCAATGTCCCCAATGTCCCCAATCCCCCCAATGTCCCCAACGTCCCCAATGTCCCCAATGTCCCCAATGTCCCCAATGTCCCCAATGTCCCCAATGTCCCCAATCCCCCCAATGTCCCCAACGTCCCCAATGTCCCCAATGTCCCCAATCCCCCCAATGTCCCCAATGTCCCCAATCCCCCCAATGTCCCCAACGTCCCCAATGTCCCCAATGTCCCCAATGTCCCCAATGTCCCCAATGTCCCCAGGGGTGTCACAGTGCCACCCCGAAGCGCGCCATGTGCCGTGCCACCACGCCGAGCCGCAGCCGCACCGTGCCGGCGCTCTCGGTGCGCAGCCGGAACCGCTCGGTGGCCGCGGTGGCCGTCCCCAAGGGGTCGCGCAGTTCGGGGCCACCGGGGCCCAACAGCCGCTGGCGCCGCGTCCCCCGCGGCCGCCAGGTGACAACGGTGACGCGGTGACACCCCGGCGCGCTCGGCACCGCGCACACGCCGTACCCCGCCAGGCCACGGCGGCCCCACGTGTCCACGTGCCACACCTCCAGCAGCAGCCTGGGCCAGCCTGGGGACATTGGGGACATTGGGGACATTGGGGGCATTGGGGACATTGGGGGCATTGGGGACATTGGGGGGACATTGGGGACATTGGGGGGATTGGGGACATTGGGGACATTGGGGGCATTGGGGACATTGGGGGCATTGGGGACATTGGGGACATTGGGGACATTGGGGGGATTGGGGACATTGGGGACATTGGGGACATTGGGGACATTGGGGACATTGGGGACATTGGGGACATCATTGGGGACATTGGGGGGATTGGGGGGATTGGGGACATTGGGGACATTGGGGACATTGGGGGACATTGGGGGACATTGGGGACATTGGGGACATTGGGGACATTGGGGACATTGGGGACATTGGGGGGATTGGGGGGACATTGGGGACATTGGGGACATTGGGGGGGTTGGGGACATTGGGGACATTGGGGACATTGGGGACATTGGGGACATCCTTGGGGACATTTGGGGACATTGGGGACATTGGGGACATTGGGGACATTGGGGACATCGGGGACATTGGGGACATTGGGGACATTGGGGACATTGGGGACATTGGGGGGATTGGGGACATTGGGGACATTGGGGACATTGGGGGGACATTGGGGACATTGGGGACATTGGGGACATCATTGGGGACATTGGGGACATTGGGGACATTGGGGACATTGGGGACATTGGGGACATTGGGGACATTGGGGGATTGGGGGGACATTGGGGACATTGGGGACATTGGGGACATTGGGGACATTGGGGACATTGGGGACATTGGGGACATTGGGGGGATTGGGGACATTGGGGACATTGGGGGGATTGGGGACATTGGGGGGACATTGGGGACATTGGGGACATTGGGGACATTGGGGGGACATTGGGGACATTGGGGGGACATTGGGGGGATTGGGGACATTGGGGGGATTGGGGACATTGGGGACATTGGGGGGATTGGGGACATTGGGGACATCATTGGGGACATTGGGGACATTGGGGACATTGGGGACATTGGGGACATTGGGGACATTGGGGGCATTGGGGACATTGGGGACATTGGGGGGCATTGGGGACATTGGGGGCATTGGGGACATTGGGGGGGCATTGGGGACATTGGGGACATTGGGGACATTGGGGGGACATTGGGGACATTGGGGGGACATTGGGGTGGCACTGGGACATTGGGGACATTGGGGACATTGGGGGGACATTGGGGACATTGGGGGGATTGGGGACATTGGGGACATTGGGGGGATTGGGGACATTGGGGACATTGGGGACATCGGGGACATTGGGGACATTGGGGACATTGGGGACATTGGGGACATTGGGGGGATTGGGGACATTGGGGACATTGGGGACATCGGGGACATTGGGGGGATTGGGGACATTGGGGACATTGGGGACATTGGGGGGACATTGGGGACATTGGGGACATTGGGGACATTGGGGACATTGGGGGGATTGGGGACATTGGGGACATTGGGGTGGCACTGTGACATTGGGGACATTGGGGACATTGGGGGGATTGGGGACATTGGGGGGATTGGGGGGACATTGGGGACATTGGGGACATTGGGGGACATTGGGGGGACATTGGGGACATTGGGGACATTGGGGGGATTGGGGACATTGGGGGATATTGGGGACATTGGGGGATATTGGGGACATTGGGGACACTGGGGACATTGGGGGGATTGGGGACATTGGGGACATTGGGGGGACATTGGGGACATTGGGGACATTGGGGACACTGGGGGGACATTGGGGACATTGGGGGGACATTGGGGACATTGGGGACATTGGGGACACTGGGGGGACATTGGGGGATATTGGGGACATTGGGGACATTGGGGACATTGGGGGGACATTGGGGACATTGGGGACATTGGGGACATTGGGGACATTGGGGACATTGGGGACATTGGGGGATATTGGGGACATTGGGGACATTGGGGACATTGGGGACATTGGGGACATTGGGGACATTGGGGGGACATTGGGGACATTGGGGACATTGGGGGGACATTGGGGGGATTGGGGGGATTTGGAATGTCCCCAAATGTCCCCCAATGTCCCCAATGCCCCAAATGTCCCCAAATGTCCCCAATGTCCCCTACCCTGCAGGCCGCGTGTCCCCAGGTGCAGGTCCAGGGGGTGGCCCCACTGCGCAGCTTCACCCGCCTGGGGCTCATCGAGGTGGGTCTGCCCCGCGCCCGCCCCGGCCAGCAGCGTCCAGCCCGCGCCTGGGCACCAGAAATGGCATAAAAATGGCAAAATCAGACCAAAATCAGCTGGGGCACCCCAAACACCCCAAAACCAGCCCCAAAAACGGCCCAAAACCTGCAAAATCAGCCCAAAATCTTCCCAAAATCAACCTGGGCACCCCAAAATACCCCAAAAACACCCCAAAACCACCCCAAAAACGGACCAAAACCACCCCAAAAACACGCCAAAAATGGCCCAAAACCGGCAAAATCAGCCCAAAATCACCTCGGGCACCCAAAATACCCCCAAAACACCCCAAAACCGGACCAAAAACAGCCCCAAACACCCCAAAAATGACCCAAAAATGGCCAAAACCGGCAAAATCAGCCCAAAATCTACCCCAAATCAGCCCCAAATCACCCAGGCACCCCAAAAACGGATCAAAAACGGCAAAATCTGCCCAAAATGGGCCCAAAATCAGCCTGGGTACCCCAAAATACCCAAAAAATGGCCCAAAAACGGCCCCAAATCAGCCCAAAATCAGCCGGGGCACCCCAAACACCCCAAAAACGGCAAAATGAGCCCAAAATCAGCCCAAAATCAGCTGGGGCACACCAAACACCCCAAAAACGGCCCCAAATCAGCCCCAAAATGGCCAAAAAACACCCAAACCCCGGCAAAATCAGCCCAAAATCAGCCCCAAATCACCCGGGGCACCCCAAACACCCCAAAAACGGCCCCAAGACTACCCCAAAAATGGCCCAAAAACGGCCCAAAAACGGCAAAATCAGCCCAAAATCTGCCCAAAATCACCCAGGCACCCCAAAAACGGACCCAAAACGGCAAAATCAGCCCAAAATCAGCCCAAAATCTGCCCAAAATCTGCCCAAAATCTGCTGGGGCACCCCAAAATACCCCAAAAACGGACCAAAAACGGCCCAAAAATGGCCCAAAACGGGAAAATCAGCCCAAAATCTGCCCAAAATCAGCTCAAAATTAGCCCAAAATCAGCTGGGGCACCCCAAAATACCACAAAAATGGTCCAAAACCGGCCCAAAAATGGCAAAATCAGCCCAAAATCAGCCCAAATACCCCAAAAACACCCCAAAACCGGACCAAAACACCCCAAAAACGGCAAAATCAGCCCAAAATCACCCAGGCACCCCAAACACCTTAAATACCCAAAAAACACCCCAAAAACACCCCAAGACCACCCCAAAAACGGACCAAAACCGGCAAAATCAGCCCAAAATCTGCCCAAAATCACCTGGGCACCCCAAAAACGGACCAAAAATGGCAAAATTAGCCCAAAATCAGCTGGGGCACCCCAAAATACCCCAAAACCAGCCCAAAAACGGCCCAAAACCAGCAAAATCAGCCCAAAATCTGCCCAAAATCACCTGGGGCACCCCAAACACCCCAAAAACGGCCCCAAAAACGGCTCCAAAATGGCAAAATCAGCCCCAAATCACCCAAATCTCTCCCCCAAATCCCCCTAAAATCCCCCCAAAACCCCCCGAAATTCCTCCCAAAATTCCCCCAAATCCCCCAAAATCTCATTCAAAATCCCCAAAATCCTCCAAAAAAATCCCCAAATCTCCCCCCCAAATCCCCCCCAAAATCCTCCAAAAAAATCCCAAATTTCTCCCCCAAAATCTCATTCAAAATCCCCAAATCCCCCCAAAATCCTCCAAAAAATCACCCCAAAAATCCCCCAAAAAATCCCATGGAAATAAGCCAAAAATCCCCAAAAACATCCCCCTGAAATCACCCCAAAAAATCCCCCCCAAAAAATCCCACTAAAATAACCCAAAAAAATCCCATCAAAATTCCAAAAATCCCTCAAAAATCCCCCAAAAATTCTCCAAAAATTCCCCAAAAATCCCCCCAAACAAACCCCTGAAATTACCCCAAAAATCCCCCAAAAAATCCCATTAAAATAACCCCAAAAATCCCATCAAAATCCCCAAAATCCCTCAAAAATTCCACAAAAAGTCTCTCAAAATCCCCCAAAAATATCCTCAAAATATCCCCCAAAATTCCCTCCAAAAATCCCCCCAAAAATCCCCCTGAAATCACCCCAAAAATCCCCCAAAAAATCCTGCTAAAATAACCCCAAAAATCCCATCAAAATTCCAAAAAATCCCTCAAAAATCCCCCCAAAATCCTCCAAAAAAATCCCCAAATCTCCCCCCCAAATCCCCCCAAAATCTTCCCCCAAATCCCCCAAAATTCTCCAAAAAAATCCCAAATTTCTCCCCCAAATCCCCCCAAAATCTCATTCAAAATCTCCAAATCCCCCCAAAATCCTCCAAAAAAATCCCCAAATCTCCCCCCAAATCCCCCCAAAATTCCCACAAATGCCCCAAATTCCTCCCCAAATCTCCCCAAATTCCCCTGAATCACTCGGAATCCCCCCAAAACCCCCAAAATCCTCCAAAAAAATCCCAAATTTCTCCCCCAAAACACCCAAAATCTCATTCAAAATCCCCAAATCCCCCCAAAATCCTCCAAAAAAATCGCCAAATCTCCCCCCCAAACCCCCTAAAACCCCCCGAAATTCCTCCCAACTCCCACAAAATCCCCCAAATCCCTCCCAAAATCTCCCCAAAATGCCCCAAAATCCCCCAAATTCCCCCAAAATTCCCCAAAATCCCCCAAATTTCCCCCCGCCTCACCTGCGTGCAGCCCCCACTTGCAGAAGAGGCGCCGCTCGGAGAAGCCGCAGCCGCTCTCGATCTGCCCGATGAGGTGCAGCTCCGCCATTGGGACCCCAAAACCCGCCGGATTCAGCCCAAAATTGCCCAAAATTTCCAAAATTCCCCCCAAAATTCCGCCCGCGCGGCGCTCCCTGCCCGCGCCGCCACTGCGCATGCGCGGGCGGCGCTTCCGCATCGCGTTGCCACGGTAACGCAAAGCCAGCGCTGACTGGTTAATACAGCTCAGGCCACGCCCATAAAGGGCGGGGTTAGCACTGCGCATGCGTGTACGGAAGAGTTTGCCGTACGGGCGCCGCCATCTTGGGTGTTACAGCATGGGGGCCGCCATCTTGAGGGCGCCGCCATCTTGTGTGTACCGCCGCCATCTTGGGAGGGCCCCAAATTGGGGGGGAAAAGCCAAAATTGGGAAAAAATCCAAAACGGGGGGGGAAAAAACCCAAAATTGGGGGGAAAAACACAGAATTGGGGGAAAAAATACAAAATTGGAGGAAAACAACCAAAATTGGGAGAAAACACCCCAAAATTGGGGAAAAACACCCCAAAATTGGGGAAAAAAACCAAAATTGTGGGGGAAACACAAAGTTGAGGAAAAAACCCAAAAATTGGGTAAAAACCCACCAAAATTGAGTAAAAATCACAAAATTAGGGAAAAAATGCAGAAATTTTGGAAAAAAACCAAAATTGGGTAAAAAAAACCCCAAAATTGAGGGAAAGAAAAACCAAAATCGAGGGGAAAACCAAAATTGGGTAAAAAAACCCCAAAAATTGGGAAAAAAATCCCAAAATTAGGGATAAAATGCAGAAATTAGGGGAAAGAAAACCAAAATTGGGGAAAAAAGAACAAAATTGGGGGGAAAAAACCCTAAATCGAGGGTAAAACCAAAATTGGGGGAAAAACCCCAAAATTGGGGAAAAAATCCCAAAATTCAGGATAAAACGCAGAAATTTGGGGGAAAAAACCAAAATTGGGTAAAAAAAACCCCAAAATTGGGGGGAAAATCCCAAAATTAGGGAGAAAATGCAGAAATTTGGGGAAAAGAAACTAAAATTGGGTAAAAAAACCCCCAAAATTGGGGGAAAAAACCCCCAAAATCGAGGGGAAAACCAAAATTGGGGGAAAAACGCCAAAATTGGAGGGGAAAACCAACAAGTCGGGGGGGGGGGGGACACAAAATAGGAGGGAAAAATCCAAAATTGGGGGATAAAAACAAAAATTGGGGAAGAAAAACCCAAAAATTGGGGAAAAAAACAACATTGGGGGGGAAACCCCAAAATTGGGGGAAACCCCAGAAATTCTGTGAAAAAAACAAACCTGGGGGAAAAACCCCTAAAATTGGGAAAAAAAAAAAAAAACAAAATTGGGGGAAAAAGTGCAAAATTGTGGGGAAAAAACCCCAAAATTGGGGGAAACCCCAGAAATTCTGTGAAAAAAACAAACCTGGGGGAAAAACCCCTAAAATTGGGAAAAAAAAACCCCAAAATTGGGGGAAAAAGTGCAAAATTGTGGGGAAAAAAACAAAATTGGGGTGAAAACCCAAAATTGAGGGAAAAAAATTCCAAAATTTCAGGGAAAAGCAAAAATCGGGGGGAAAACCCCAAAAATTGGGACAAAAATCCCCAAAACTGGGGAAAAACCCTCAAATTTGGGGAAAAAGCCTCAAAATTGGGGAAAAAAACCTCAAAAATTTGGGATAAACCCCAAAAAATTGGGGAAAAAACCAAAATTGTGGGAAAAACCACAAAGTTTGGGGGGAAAATCCCCAAAATTGGCGAAAAACAACACCCAAAATTGGGGAAAAAACCCAAAATTGGGGAAAAAAAACCCAAAATTGGGGAAAAAAACCCAAAATTGGGGAAAAAAACCCCAAAATTGGGGAAAAAACCCCAAAATTGGGGAAAAAAACCCCAAATTGGGGAAAAAATCCAAAATTGGGGAAAAAACCCCAAAATTGGGGGGAAGCCCCAAATTTCAGGTTCCGTTCCTCAGTTTTACTTTTCCCTCCAAATTTTGGGATTCGCCTCTCCTGGATTTCAAATCCCTCCCAAAATTCCCCTCCCCAAATTCCCGCCCCTCCCCCACAATTATCGCCCCTCCCCCTCCCCAAATTCCCGCCCCTCCCCCCCAATTCTGCCCCTCCCCCTCCCCAAATTTTTTCCTTCCCCCCCCATTCTGCCCCTCCCCCTCCCCAAATTCCCGCCCCTCCCCCTCCCCAAATTCCACCCCTCCCCCAAAATTCTGCCCCTCCCCCTCCCCAAATTCTCGCCCCTCCCCCTCCCCAAATTTCTGCCCCTCCCAAATTCTCACCCCTCCCCCAAAATTCTGCCCCCCCTCCCCAAATTCTCGCCCCTCCCCCCAATTCCCGCCCCTCCCCCTCCCCAAATTTTTTCCTCCCCCCCATTCCCGCCCCTCCCCCTCCCCAAATTTTTCCTTCCCCCCCAATTCCACCCCTCCCCCTCCCCAAATTTTTCCTCCCCCAAAATTCTGCCCCTCCCCCTCCCCAAATTCCTGCCCCTGCCCCCAAATTCTCGCCCCTCCCCCTCCCCAAATTCCCGCCCCTCCCCCAAAATTCTGCCCCTCCCCCTCCCCAAATCTGCCCCAATTTCGGCCCCTCCCCCTCCCCAAATTTTTCCCTCCCCAAATTTCTGCCCCCAATTCTGCCCATCCCCCTCCCCAAATTTTTCCTTCCCCAAAATTTCTGCCCCAATCCCGCCCCTCCCCCTCCCCAAATTCCTCCTTCCCCAAAATTCTGCCCCTCCCCCCAATTCCCGCCCCTCCCCCTCCCCAAATTCCCGCCCCTCCCCCAAATTCCGTCCCTCCCCCCCAATTCTGCCCCTCCCCCTCCCCAAATTTTTCCCTCCCCAAATTCCCGCCCCTCCCCCCCAATCCCGCCCCTCCCCCTCCCCAAATTTTTCCTTCCCCCAATTCTCGCCCCTCCCCCTCCCCAAATTCCCGCCCCTCCCCCTCCCCAAATTTTTCCTTCCCCAATTTCTGCCCCAAATTCTGCCCCTCCCCCTCCCCAAATTTCGCCCCTCCCCCCCAAATTCCGGCCCCTCCCCCCTAATCCCGCCCCTCCCCCTCCCCAAATTCCTCCTTTCCAAAATTCCCGCCCCTCCCCCTCCCCAAATTCCCGCCCCTCCCCCAATTCCCGCCCCTCCCCCTCCCCAAACGGGGTCAAAGGTCACGGGGGGGTCACCCCAAATTTACTTCACGGACACCACAGCACAGAACCGACCACGACACCACCGGGGGGGGGGAGGGGCACCCCAAAATTGGGGGGGGGGGGGGGAGGAGGGGCGGAGAGACCCCCAAAAACCCCCCCAGGGACGGGTGGGGGATGGGCAGCGCCCCCTCCCCCCCCCAAACAACACCGACCCCCCCAAAAACCCCAAAAACCCCCCAAAATCCGCCCGCGGTGGGGGGGGGGGGGGGGGGGGGGGGGGGGGGGGAACCCCCCAAAATTTCCCATCATGCAACACTCGGCCCTCCCCTCCCCCCCCAAAAAAAATTTGGGAACCCCCTCCCCAAAATTCCCCTCCCCCCCCCAGCTCTGTTATGGCTTTTTTCGGGTTTTTTGGGGGGTTTTGGGGTTTTTTGGGGGGTTTTGGGGTTTTGGGTTTTTTGGGGGGTTTTGGGGGGAATTTGGGGGTTTTTTGGGGGGTTTTTGGGGTTTTTTGGGGGTTTTGGGCCCCCCTAGGTGAGGGTGATGAAGGCCGAGGCCTTTTCCTTCAGCTGCCGCAGGCACAGGTGGCAGCTCCAGCTCCCTGCGCCAAAAATACGCCAAAAATGTCACATTTCAGCCCAAAATCCGCCCCCGAAATCACCAAAAATTCCCCCAAAAATTCCCCAAAAATTCCCACAAACGGGCCCCCAAAATCAGCAAATATCCCCCTGAAATCACCAAATATCCCCCCAAAAATCCTCCAGACATCCCCCCAAAATCACCTAAAATCCCCCCAAAAATCCCACTAAAATCCTCCTAAAATCCTACAAAAATACCCCAAAAATACCCCAAACAGCCCCCTGAAATCAGCTGAAATTCCCCCAAAAATACCACAACAATTGCCCCAAAAATTCCCCCCAAAATCAGCAAATATCCCCCAAAAATACCCCAAACAGCCCCCCGAAAGCAACTGAAATTCCCCCAAAAATACCCCAAAAAGACCCCAAAAATTCCCCCAAACAGCCCCCCGAAATCTGCAAATATCCCCCTAAAAATACCCCCAAAATTTCCCCCGAAATCAGCAAATGCCTCCCCAAAAATTCCCCCAAACAGCCCCCCGAAATCAGCAAATATTCCCCCAAAAATTCCCCAAAAATTCCCCCCAAAATCAGTTGAAATTCCCCCAAAAATACCCCCCGACAGCCCCCCGAAATCAGCAAATATCCCCCCCAAAAATACCCCAAAAATACCCCAAAAATTCCACCAAACAGTCCCCCAAAATCAGCAAATATCCCCCAAAAATACCCCAAACAGCGCCCCGAAATCAGCAAATATCCCCCCAAAAATACCCCAAACAGTCCCCCGAAATCAGCAAATAATCCCCCAAAAATACCCCAAAAATTCCCCCAAACAGCCCCCCAAATTCAGCTGAAATTCCCCCCAAAAATACTCGAAAATTCCCCCAAACAGCCCCCCGAAATCAGCAAATATCCCCCAAAAATACCACAAAAATTCCACAAAAATTCGCCCAAACAGCCCCCCCGAAAGCAGCTGAAATTCCCCCAAAAATTCCCCCAAACAGCCCCCCAAAATCAGCTGAAATTCCCTCAAAAATACCCCAAAAATTCCCCCAAACAGCCCCACAAAATCAGCAAATATCCCCCCAAAAATACCCCAAAAATACCCCAAAAATTCCCCCCGAAATCAGCAAATATCCCCCCAAAAATACCCCAAAAATTCCACAAAAATTCCCCCAAACAGCCCCTCAAAATCAGCTGAAATTTCCCCCAAAAATTCCCCCAAACAGTCCCCCGAAATCAGCTGAAATTTCCCCCAAAAATACCCCAAAAATTCCCCCCAAAATCAGCTGAAATTCCCCCAAAAATACCAAAAAAATTCCCCCAAACAGCCCCCCAAAATCACCTAAAATCCCCCCAAAAATACCGCTAACATCCTCCTAAAATCCTACAAAAATACCCCAAAAATACCCCCAAAATCTTCTCCAAAATCCCCCAAAATCCCCCAAACAATCCCCCAAAATCTCCCAAATTCCCCCTAAAATCCCCACAAATTCCCTCCAAAATGCCCCAAAATGTCCCCAAACCCCCCAAAATCTCCCAAAATCTCCCCCAAATTCTCTCAAAATTTCCCCCAAATCCCACCAAATCCCCCAAATATTCTCCAAAATCTCCCAAAATCCCCCCAAATCCCTCAAAATCTCCCAAAATCTTCTCCAAATTCCCTCCAAACCGCCTCCAAAATCCCCAAAATCCCCCCAAGTTCTCCCCAAAATCCTCCAAAAAATGCCCCCAAAATTCCCCAAAATCCTCCCAAAATCCCTCCAAAATGCCCCAAAATGTCTCCAAACCCCCCAAATCCCCCCAAAATTTCCCAAATCCCCCAAAATCCCCAAAAATCCCCCAAACAATACCCCAAAATCTCAAAAATTCACACAAATTCCCCTCCAAAATCTCCCAAAATCCCTCCAAATCTCCCAAAATCCCCCCAAATCCCCCCAAATCCCCCAAAATCTCCCAAAATCCCCCCAAATCCCCCCAAATCTCCTCCAGAATTTCCCAACATCTTCTCCAAATTCCCCCCAAAATCTTCCAAACCGCCCCCAAAATCCCCCAAAAATCTCCCCAAGTTCTGCCCAAAATCCTCCAAAAAATCCCCCCAAAATTCCCCAAAATCCCCCAAAATCTCCCAAAATCTCCCCCAAATCCCCCCAAATCTCCCCAAAATCTCCCCAAACCACCCCCAAAATCTCCCAAATCCCCCCAAAAATCCCCCAAAATCTTCTCCAAAACCCCAAAAAATCCCCCAAACCGCCCCCAAAATCCCCCAAATCCCCCCAAGTTCTCCCCAAAATCCTCCAAAAAATGCCCCCAAAATTCCCAAAATCCCCCCAAAATCCCCCAAAATCCCCCCAAATCCCTCCACAATCTCCCAAAATCTTCTCCAAAATCCCAAAAAATCCCCCAAACAATCCCCCAAAATCTCCCAAATTCCCCCTAAAATCCCCACAAATTCCCCCCAAAATTCCCCAAAATCTCTCCAAACCCCCCCAAAATCTCCCAAAATATCCCCAAATCTCCCCCAAAATCTATCAAAATTCCCCAAACCCCCCCAAATTCCTCCAAAATCTCCCCCAAATCCCCCAAAATCCTCCAAAAAATCCCCCCAAAATTCCCCAAAATCCCCCCAAAATCCCCCAAATATTCTCCAAATCCCCCCAAAATCCCCAAAACGCCCAAAATCTCCCCAAAATACCCTCGGGGGGCTCGGCCATGGGGGGGCTCAGGCAGTACATGTGGTACCCGCGGTCGCAGTCGTCGCAGAACAGCAGCTGCTCCTTTGGGGCAAAAAACCCCGATTTTGGGAAAAAACGTGAATTTGGGGAAAAAACGGGATTTGGGGGGAAAAATAAGGGGTTTGGGGGAAAATAAATGGAATTTTCTGGGGAAAAAATAATGGTTTTGGGGGAAAAATAAAGGGATTTTGGGGAAAATAAATGGAATTTTCTGGGGTAAAATTAATGGATTTGGGGTAAAAATAAAGGGATTTTGGGGAAAATAAATCAGATTTTGCGGGGAAAATAAAGGGATTTTTGGGAAAAAAATATAAAGGGGTTTTGGGATAAAAATAATGATTTTGGGGGAAAAGAAATGGATTTGGGGAAAAATAAATGGATTTTGGGGGGAAATGGATTTTGGGGAAGAATAAAGGGATTTGGGGAAAAAAACGATTTTGGGAGAAAAATAACGGAATTTGGGGATTTGGGAAAAATAAATTGATTTGAGGGAAAAAATAACGGATTTTGGGGGAAAATAATGGATTTGGGGAAAAAATAATGGATTTTGGGGACAAATGAATGGATTTTGGGGAAAATAATGGATTTGGGGAAAAATAACAGATTTTGGGGAAAAATAACGGATTTTGGGGGGAAAACACCAATTTTGGGGGAAAAAATTAAATGATTTGGGGGGAAAACAGATTTTGGGACAAAATTAATGGATTTTGGGGGAAAAGAAATGGATTTGGGGAAAAATAAATGGATTTTGGGGGGAAAAGAAATGGATTTTGGGGAAAAATAAAGGGATTTGGAGAAAAAAAAACGATTTTGGGACAAAAATAAAGGAATTTGGGGATTTGGGAAAAATAAATCGATTTGCGGGGAAAAAAAACGGATTTTGGGGGAAATAATGGATTTGGGGAAAAAAATAATGGATTTGGGAAAAAAATAATGGATTTTGGGGGAAAATGGATTTTGGGGAAAAATAAAGGTATTTGGGGAAAAAAACCAATTTTGGGACAAAAATAACAGAATTTGGGGATTTGAGGAAAATAAATCGATTTGCGGGAAAAAATAACGGATTTTGGGGGAAATAATGGATTTGGGGAAAAAAATAACGGATTTTGGGGAAAAATAATGGATTTTGGGGAAAACACCAATTTGGGAGGAAAAATTTAACTGATTTAGGAGGAAAACAGATTTTGGGACAAAATTAATGGATTTTGGGGGAAAAGAAATGGATTTGGGGAAAAATAAATGGATTTTGGGGGAAAATGGATTTTGGGGAAGAATAAAGGGATTTGGGGAAAAAAAACCAATTTTGGGAAAAAAAAACGGAATTTGGGGATTTGGGAAAAATAAATTGATTTGTGGTAAAAAATAACGGATTTTGGGGGAAAAGAAATGGATTTGGGGGAAAAAATAACAGATTTTTGGGGAAAATAATGGATTTTGGGGGGAAATCACCAATTTTGGGGGAAAAACTGATTTAGGGGGGAAAACAGATTTTTGGGGGAAATAACGGATTTGTGGGAAAAAATAACGGATTTTGGGGAAAAAAAATAATGGATTTTGGGAAAAATTAACAGATTTTGGGGACAAATAAACGGATTTTGGGGTTGGGTTTTGGGAGAATCTCGGTCTGGATTTGGGGGATTTTTGGGAGGATTTTGGGTGGGATTTTAGGGTGGATTTGGGGGATTTTGGGGCGGTTTGGGGGAGTATTTTGGGGGGATTTTGGGGCGATTTGGGGCAGTATTTTGGGGGGATTTTAGGGTGGATTTGGGCGGTTTTGGGGCAGGATTTTGGGGGGATTTTAGGGTGGATTTGGGCGGTTTTGGGGCAGTATTTTGGGGGGATTTTAGGGTGGATTTGGGGGATTTTGGGGGGATTTTGGGGTGGATTTGGGGGATTTTGGGGAGTATTTTGGGGTGGTCTGGGAGGTTTTGGGGAGTATTTTGGGGGGGATTTTAGGGTGGATTTGGGGTATTTTGGGGAGGATTTGGGGGCGATTTTAGGGTGGATTTGGGGGATTTTGGGGAGGATTTGGGGGGGATTTTAGGGTGGATTTGGGGGATTTTGGGGCAGTATTTTGGGGTTGTTTGGGGGAGTATATTGGGGGGGATTTTAGGGTGGATTTGGGGGATTCTGGGGAGGATTTTGGGGTGGTTTGCGGAGTATTTTGGGGAGATTTTAGGTTGGAATTTGGGGGATTTTGGGTGGATTTGGGGGAGGATTTGGGGGCGGTTTGGGGGAATATTTTGGTGGGGATTTTGGGGTGGATTTAGAGGTTTTTGGAGAGTATTTTGGTGGGGATTTTGGGGGGATTTGGGGAGTTTTGGGGTGGATTTTGGGGAGTATTTTGGGAAGTATTTTAGGGTGGATTTGGGGGATTTTGGGGAGGATTTTGGGGCGGTTTGGGGGCGGTTTGGGCGATATTTTAGGGTGGATTTGGGGGATTTTGGGGAGGATTTTGGGGAGGATTTTGGGGCAGTTTGGGGGAGTATTTTGGGGGGATTTTCGGGTGGATTTGGGGGATTTTGGGGGTATTTTGGGGCAGTATTTTGGGTGGGATTTTAGGGTGGATTTGGGGGATTTTGGGGCGGATTTTGGTGAGCATTTTGGGGCAGTTTGGGGCAGTATTTTGGGGGGGATTTTAGGGTGGATTTGGGAGATTTTGGGGGGATTTTGGGGAGCATTTTGGGGGTATTTTGGGGCAGTTTGGGGTCCCTCACGTCGTTCTCGGCGGTGCCGCAGAGGCTGCAGGATTTGCACTCGATGCATTGCCAGCGGTAGGAGCGCGCGGCCGCCGCCATGGCCAGCGAGAACTGCAGGCACGAGGGGTGCCCTGGGGCAAAAAC